CATAGCATCTTTGTTGTCGTTTCCTAGAGTTTGATCACGAGGCACCCTGTCTTTATCAGCAAATGTTCTTCTGTCACTCTGTCCACATTTTCTGTTCACTGATAACTCATTTGATTTCTGGTTTCATTCCAGCGAGACCTTCGCTAAATCATTTGATTCTTTTGCTATTCTGAGTTCGCAGAACGACTTGTTTCAAAATATACGCTCATTACACACGCCACCTTTTAGAGTGGGTCTGTATGCTTGAGCGTAAAAAAGATGACACCATTTGTTAACACATTCGACATCTCCGCCATCGTTAACATCGTGGAAAGAAGATTGCACCCTTAGTAAGTGTCTGCGGTATTGCCCATTGCAGGTGCAGGGCTTTGTGGAGAAACCTAAGGGAAACCCCAGGACCTAGTTGGTCGCCCGACCAGTAAGAAGCAAATGAATACAAAAGCCGCTGACCGCATACTCGCCTAAACCGGAGGGAGACACGTGACTGCGTTAGGGAGAAAGGGGGGCTCATTTGAACACATTTCGCAACGATGCGTAGGTTAGTAGGTTGTCGACCGCGCCAGAGGAGGGATTTCATTGAGATATTGCAATCCACCGGCAGTTTTTAACTTAAAGTTGTCTGGGTAAGTTAGATTTTGTAAAAGAAAACATCCGTTACTCAGTTGTTAGCTCTTCTTGCACGATCATGCGCCAGCAACACGTTGGTGTGAAAGAATATTGGGTTGGACTTCGCACATGATCCTCAGTAGCTTTCGAAGTCTACTTTGTAGTCTTTTGAAATCTCTGTGTAATGACTATTTCTAACTTCTTTTCAACTTTTGTGTCCTAATTGCAGGTTCGAATTCCCTGGAGTTATGGAAGGAAGAGATTCGAACGAATGCTCGCAGTTGGAACTATTGGGACGCAAATTGATCACCGGAATTCACGCTTTTCAGGATCAGTGCTTCCTTAAGGTTTGCGTACCACTTTCGTTACGTTAGTGGTCTTAAATTTTCAGACCTACTGTTATTCTAGTGCACTATTCAGACCAAGCTTCCTTCCTTTTGAGATAATTTGATGGTTTCGGCGCATAAGGATTATTTGAGGTTGACAGTTGCATGATCACCACAAACCAACCCTCTGGCTCAATTTTTATATTTTCTGTCATCGGCGAACTTGTTCTCGAAATGGAAGGTGTTGATAGCCTGTTGTTTGGCTTACCGCTCGGGATATTTTATCGGTTTATAGGTCGATACAGAGGTAGTTTTCACAAAACTTTGTCAGAAATAAATCGCGCACAAGTACGGTTGCATCCTAGCTGCTACGTTGTGACACTGTAAATGCAATAAAAACGGACAGAAAATCGTAGAGTTTCATCGCAAGACGTATTCAGGATTGTTTATGTAAAAAATTCACCCCAACTTTGAGTAATATCGGCCGTTACACACTGTTGTTGTCGCAATTGAACTTTCGTGGTAAAATCCGCCATTTTTGAACTGTGTCAAGCACATGCAAGGCACGCTGGGTAGTTCCTATTTCATGGGGCGAGTGTGACAGGTTTGGTAGCTTGTTTTGCCTCCGTGTCTTCTCTAACGTAACTTTCTCAAAATTAAAACCGATTATTTGTTTATGTATTTCTCAGCCAAGTAAATAAACTCTTGTTAGCTTTTGTTTGTCGAATCATCCAGACTCAACTAGTGTGATATTACATATTGTAAACAAACTTACCCACAGTGTAATCTTCTAGTTGTGTTTTAAAGTGATGTCACATTGAGTATAAAATCTAAGGACTGTATTTGTAACCATTGTTACATTAACTGATAGACTAGAGACTCAACTCGAGCATGGTGTTGCATATAGTAAACAAAAAACCCCACAATTTGTTTTTTTTTCTGTCAAAATGGCAGAAAGGAATATTTTCTAGCATGTGAGACATAAGCAGTGGTTTTGTTGCTTTTTCTCACTTTCTGGCCTGGCTCAAGTGATGTTTTCCTTTCGATAAATAACTACAATTTTTTTCTATTTTTGTAAAATGACTTTAAAATATGACAGGGAAATTTCAGTGCAACACTGAATCTTTTTTCACCAGATTAGTGTTTCAAAATTTCATGTTATTGTTTGCATCCATTCATAATATTGGAAGTCAAGTTCTCTTGTCTTTTCAATTTTTTCCGGAGGTGGTGGCGTCTTGTTATGTTCTTATTAATGTTGGGGCCTTCAAGCTCTTAGTGCTGGGATAATGTGTTGTACTAATTAAACTGCAAAGTTCTTCAGTGTCGTTGCTTTAGATTGGAGGGAAAGGATTTTGTCAGTGTGAAGGGGCTGTATTCTGTTTAGTGTTAAATCAGCTGCTCAATCCTTTTCAGCTGGAGAAGATATACTTGCTGGAATTGCAGTAAAAGCTGTGTTTGTAATAAGTCCAGGGGTTACTGACACTTAAACTGGATCTGGCAAAATAGTCTCCCTGATGCTGCAAAGAACAACAATTAACTCTTTCACTACTATATACTAATTAGGCCCAAATTCCATTGTTCCTGAATATTTATTTAGGCACCACCAAGGCTTTAACACAAAATCAAAACATACATGCTCAGCAGATTTTAATGTAATGTTATGAGCAATAATGGAAAAAAAATTACAGTCTGATTGTTATTTCATTCATTCATAAGTTTGATTGCAACTAATGTGGTAATAACTTTGAGTATTGACTCCAGAAAGTCAAGAAATAAAAAAAAAATTCAAATTTGCCGCCATTAATGCTGGCACTACAATTGTTTTGTCGAACAACTAATTTGCAAGGCAACGAAAAACATGGTATATTCCCTACAGATATTTCATAAAACAGGTTAATAGTCAATCTAAGATGTTGGAACTTGAACAGGCAAGTTCAAAAGAGTTTATTTGGACTGCATGTGGAACTCATTGTGGCATGTGGAACTCATTGTGGGATGTGGGACAGAGTGCAACTTTGCAGAGTTTGCACTCGAAATGCGTCTCCACTTTATATCCTTTCGGGGTTCTCCTGCCAGCCATGATACACTGTACGCACTTACTCTTTCTTCCTTCTACATGGACAGAAATATGCTGTCCTGGATCTACGGCAGTTTGGTCTACAGCATCAAGGGAGCGTCTCTTTCTCTTCCTTTGAGAAAAGCCATTGATGAGTTGTTTGGCGAGCGCCAGCCTGAAATCTATCAATGGTTTCTTACGTCGTCCTCCACGATGAATGTTAAACAGGACATAGGCATTGCAAATAGACAAATTAAATAAAAACCAGGAAATTTTTTTTGTACCACTTTCATGATTGCCAGCCTGCATAGTAGAATGAGCGAAGCTGATCTGCGTGATCAACTCCTCCCATGAAAGCGGTGTAAACATGGGCAACTTGCGGCTTTTGAATTTCAATAACATTGCCTTTTTTCTTTTGTTGCACTGGTCGGGAGGGTTCACTGTGGGAAACATTTTTCGATAAGAAAGAAATTTCTTGCTTGTCATGCCATTTAGTGAATACTAGAAGGCCATGCTGTGCAGTTGCAATGTCTCCTTGTGTAAGCTTTCGTATCGCACATGGCGGCAAGTCCTTCCTGTTGCAGCAAACAGTTCCACATGCATAGGTGTTCTGAGCAAGAAGACAATCAAAGAGAAAAGAACTTGAAAAGAAATTGTCAAAAAATATGTGCCTGTTTTTATTTAGGAAAGGAGTTGCCATTTTCATCACGACATCATACCCAAGGCCATGAATGCGATGTCCATTTGCCTCTTGTCCAAGGTAAACAGAAAAATTCGACATGTAGCCATTGCTCGAATCTGCCGCCATCCAAACTTTGATGCCATATTTCATTGGTTTAGCGGGCATGTACTGGTGGAATGATAGCCTTCCTTTAAATGCTATCATTCCCTCGTCAATTGAAAGGTTTTTCGACGGCTCATAAACATTTTGAATTTTCTCCAAAATGTTATCGATGATTGGACACACTTTGAATAATTGGTCATAATTATCGTCACTGCGTGGTGGTTCTTGAGAAGAATCGTTAAAATGAAGGTACTGACTAATCTCTTCGAATCTGTTCTTGGTCATAATATTTTGTATGCCGCTATTTCCAACAAATGAATCGGACGACCAATACATCGAAATTCTTGGGAAGCTGTTTATACCCCATTATAATGCACATACCAAAGTAAGCATTAAGTTCTTGAGCAGTGACCTCTTTCCACTTGTCAAGCCTCGTTTGTTCGTTTGCTAATTTCTTCCGTGCGTACCAGTTGGTTTCTCAGACCATTAAATTGATAATGGAAAGGTAAAAAATCAGGTTGAAAAGGAATTTTTCACTCGTTTCATTGGGAACAGCAACCTTGATTCCTAAAGTAGTGGTGAAGTTGTTGATCACGAGGTCCTCAAAGTCTTGTGACCACGGAGTTTCGTCCTCGCTTTCACTCGAACTTTCTTCGTCTGATTCGTTTTCACTCTGACTCGCCAATCCTTCAAAATCTGTTAGATTGCGCAGAACCCTCACCGTCTGACTCATTGCTATTATCTTCATTGGACGATCCGAAAATATCACAATATTCTTCTCGGCTTATAGAATGCGGTGCAGTAGCCATATTTCAGGTAACATGGAGCTAGTAAGTTTTTCACATCCACTCTACCCCAAAGGGGATGCTAATTTATGTGCAGTGAGAAAATTATTATTGGTCAATACTCACTTTAAACAATAGAAACAAAAGTGTGGGTAAATATCGCCTGACAGGGGAGCACAGAGTCCCTCAAATAGTCTCGGTCTCTTTGGCCGCTCTAGGAATAACGTGACATTTCCGGTTGGCTACTTTTGGCCACTCTAGTTGTGAAAGGGTTAAGGTGTCTATCCACTTGAGGATTTTTCCAAGGGTCTTTTGGATCTTTTTGGCCTTTTCCTACTTGGTAGGCTGTTTGGTGTTGGGTGATGAAGTTCGTGTTGCTTCAACAACAGACAACAGGGAACAGCTCTCTTGTGCATTAGTATAGGAGAGATCACAAGGGCAGGTTGGATTAAAAGAGGACTGCAAACTGGGCTTACACTCACTCGGCTGGCTGGAACTGAGTGGGTAAATGGAGATAATGAATCTGGAGATAGGCATACACAAACTGGTGCAGTTGACAGTGCGTGAATTAGGAATAGGAACAGCATTGGAAAATATAAACAAAGGTGACATACCATGTCTACTTTGAATATCCAGAACCTTCTTTATAATAATTACCATGGTATTGGGAATTTCATGGCCCTACTGACAAGATTTTAAACTCGAGATCATCAATATGGGATAAAAATTTCTCTGTTTGGTTTGAAAATTGTATTATTTTGGTGAAAGCAAATTAAACTTGCACATATCTATTGTACCAATTTTATCTGAAAGTGCAAAAATAAAGTGCTAAATGGTCATCAAGATTATACGATGCAAACAACCATTGTTTTAGAATACAGTGTAACAGTAACATTGGAAAATGTCAACAGAGTAATGTCTAAATTGAATGTGCTAATCCTTTTCTTTTTTTGATAAGATATCAAAGTTCATGGTATTGGTAATTTCATTACACTACTGACAATGGCCATCTCAGTGACTGGTGATAGAAAAATCCAAAACCTTCCCTTGCTGGTCATGACTTTTATCACATTTGGTGGCTCACATTTGGGTTAGATTTGGATTGCTTATCAATAACCTGATGCTCTCCTCTCTTGAGCTACTAAAGTGGGTAGCACTTCTATTAAGTGGCAGATATACAGTTGACACTTCTCTAATGTAACATTGTCTCAAAATATTTTAATGCCAGCTCCCAATTCTTCTCTATTCATGGCTTCATGATGACTCACAGCAAATGCTTCAACTCGCGCCAAAGGTTCTCAATATGGTTTAGGTCTAGTCTCTCCCCTGGTGTCAGCCAATAGTTTATTCTGTTTGTTATAAGAAATTCCATTGCCAGTTTGCCTTAAAGGATGATATGACGATGTTCAAGGATCTTCAAAATTGTCTAAAGAGCCTTGCAATGTACATACATCATTGGTTATCATAGGTCAAAAAGTGGCAGCTAAGAAAGGTAATGTGGACCTACCATCTCTACAAAGTTATAAGTAAAACTTAACTATTAAAGATGTTTACAGAAATTTTTTCACAAGAATAACCAAAATCATTAACTGAACATATAGATTAAGAATGTGTACAGAAATATATACAAAAATTTATATACAAGATTGTTAATTAAAACTAGCTATTAAAAAGCATTAACAGGGAAAAATGTAACTTTAAAATACCATTTTTAAGTTGACGATAGATGAAATTGTCTACATCTTTGTTAAGGTTAGTAATGTTTCTTGGAGCAAATGCCACTTTTCTTAACTGAATCTTGTTGCACAAGATAAGAACCAGGATTACACTGCGCTTTGAAATCCTTGCCCAGATATTTACTTTGAACAGATGCTTTCTGCAAGGTTGAAGTTTCCCAGTTGTTCCTTCTTTTCTGAAAGAGATCTTGCCATGGTGCTCCAACCAAATGGCACTGTCAACCGTAAAGATAACGTTCTCAAAATCTTTGTTATGGTCTAAGCATTCTTGTGTAAAGGCTCAGCAGGCCACATGGTTTGCTTCTTCAACCACTTGGCAGCGGGGTCCACATTTTCTCCATTCCAGCTCTCCCCTTGCTCTTTTCAAAGTTGATGTGGAAAAATGACTGTGTTCATGCAGCTGGCTGTGCATGAGTATTTGCGGTCCTGTAATTAAAAATGCGAGTGATTGGTATGTCTTATCTTACAACTGGTGACACATTGTGAAATTAAATTAATTTCAGTTCTTACCAGTGGCGGTAAGCTCATCATTTTCTTCCATCATAGAATCCAGAAGTTTATAAGTGTTAAACCATTGCATACCTGTATTTTTATTTTTCCATTTGGTTTTTTTTGCTAAAATATAGTGGTTAATGCAAAGGGAAGCATTTGCTTTATAACTTTAAAGTGATTAGTAAAGACATGCTCATAAAATAAGAATTAAAGGTTGTACAAATCAAGAACTGGCCGGGAGCACAAATAAGAACAACTGTATTGCTGAAGAAGTGTTGTTGAATATAATGGTTCCATCCAGTTAATTAGGTAAATATCCATATGTTTGCTTAATATGTACCTGGAAGTATGCAATGTTTAGCTCAACTTGAGATGCTATGTTATACTGATGTTGAAGATTATTTTGTGTTCAAGACGTCGATTTTTGTGGAAATGAAGTGCCAACAGCACATCCTGTTGAATATAAGGAAGACTTAGAGCACATAAAAGTGCAGAAAAACTAAAAAAGGAACATCCTCCTTTAGAAACGTCACTAAACTAGTAGTATAACAATTAGTATTTAATGTTAAATACTTGTACCCAGAAAAATAAACCAAATATTAATCTATGGGAACTTTTGTCTTTTAAATATTGTCCTTGTCAGTAGCACCCCAACTGGGAGTAGCTATTCACCGAATTGTTTTCATGATATTTGTAGATGCAAACATCCTGGTCACGTGAAGTCATTGGGGTCACTTAAGCTGGTCTTAGGGAAGCAGACTTGAATTTGCCAATTTTGATGTCATTTTCTTCCTTGAATACTTCGTAGACCTTGTGGATGTTCAACAGCAGCAGTTGTTTCTGTTTCTAAACCCTTCCACTTGGTGTCTTTACTGAAACAGTCTTTCTTTCCTGGACACATTCTGCTGATGTCATCTCATGAAAAATTCCTCTACTTTGTTTGCCTCTTCTTCCATAAGAGCATCAGACCGCTTCTTCCTTTCAACACTGTTAAGCTTCTTTCTTTTACGAGAATTGTCACAAGCTTCAAGACCTGCTTTTTGCTTTCTTGGTGATAGATCTTCCACAATTTTTGAGATCACCACTGGGACTTTCTTAGGGCTCTTTGGCAGGCTGCTTTTCACTTGGTTTACTGCCTTAACAAGGCTTTGAGGGCTTATAAGCAGACTTGTAGAGGCAACAAACTTATTCTGGCTACCTGACTTTTTTGCTTTCTCACTTTTTTCACGTTTTCTCTCCTTTTTGTTCCTTAACCGATCTATTTCTCCGCATACAACTTGGCCATTTTTTCACGATACTGTGTCTTCTTTTGTTCTCAGTCCTTTTTTAGGTAAACCTCTAGCTTTTCTGGATCCTTTTCAACTCTTTTCTAAACTTTTTACTTCTTTTAGTATTTGGATTCATTGCTGAAAACTTGAAAGTGCTTTTATCTGTGATAGAGGTTAAGTTCCTGAAGCAATACAGTTCAATCTCACTGCACATGCTCAGTTGCAAAACATCCTGTAGGAGCATTTTATGAACAGAGAATGAATTAAACCAGTTTGATAGGACATTAATGAGCAATAATAAAAGTTGTCACAGCAGTGAGACATTCTGAAGCATAAAAAAGAATTGAATTTCATCAACAGATTAAACTTTGAGAATAATTATTATGTCCTCTCCGCAACAAAAAACAACCTTATATTTAAACATGTATTTGATAGTTTATCATAATTTTGATACAATTTAATTTACCCCTTGCGATAAATCAGAAGTTCACAAATCTGCAACTTTATAGTTTTAAGCTGGGTCTAAAATAAACAAAACTTAAGGTGAAAATGTTGTGAAGAGGACATTTGTCAGACAAACTGCAGCTTACAAAGGATTATGGGGTAAAAGTCAGGCTGAAATTGCCACTGCAGAATATCTTCATAATGGACATTTTGTCTACACAACTTTTGCTTGATTTAAGTTTTTTAACTGATTGCCAACACAGCAATGGAATGTCCTCTCTGCAACAACTATTGTTGTCGATACAGGTAATTTGTGTTCATTTATGAAATAGTGACGGCAACCCTGTTGACAATTTTCTTTTTCTACAAACTTCAACCATTTGGCCATAGCCCAAACAGAAAATTAGACCAGATTAAGGCAGGGTTTTGTAACCCTTTCTTTGTCCAAAATATTGTGGAATGACCCTATTAAACACCCCAAGAGTCTCGCAAACTGATGAAAACTTGTCTCTTTCTACAATAACGGCTCTTGGGGCATCTTGACCATAACTGTTTACTAA